CACGAATTACTGCCAAACGCCTAAAACCACAGTAATATATCGATAATTAGCAATTTTAATTTTTTCATTAACTTCCATTTCTAATTAATCTTAGAAAATTCGTGGTTTAATATAAAGAAAAAAAATGTATTGATTATTTCTTCAATCAATTTGAAATAAAACACACAAAGTTTAGTACACTTATAAGAATTTGTTTAACAGCTGCAGCCGATACGTATTTTTGTTTAAACAAACTAGAACCGCAGGTGCAGATGAATCATAGTTACGCAGGTGTACCAACTGATTCGTCGTGACAATTCGAGACGATTCGTGACAAAACGAGGCTTGTTTATACGTTTTAGTACCGCTGTGAGATATCGCAACGTTGATAAATTGCACACCTGCAGATGATTCATTGTTACGCAGGTGTGCCAACTAATTCATCGTGACAATTCGAGACGATTCGTGGTCACACGAAGATTGTTTACGCGTTTTTGAACCACTGTGGTTATTATAATTTGTTTACCACTCGCAGCTGCATACAAATAATGGATTAATCGTCTCGTGCTTTGTAAATTTTTGCTGTTACAATTTTTAAAAAATATTTTGTTTCTAAATTATTGATTCAAAAAATTTATAATTTCGATAAAACTTATTGTTTTATACTCGAAATTTTTAATGTTAATTTTTTTTTTCAAAAAATCTTAAATTATGGTAATCTTAAGTTAATGAATTTATTAATTTCTGCTGTTTTTACAGTAAATTTAGTATTTTTCAATTATTTTTTTTTTTCATGAAAAAATAAGTAAATAAATAAGGGATCATATGAAGAGTAAAATACAAATAAATTAATATGTTGAATGAATATACATTTTTCAGGTTTTACACCCATTTTCTAAGTTTTCTTTAAGACAACGCAAAATCAAGTAATATAAATATTGTATATAAACAATTAACAAATTCAATTTGTTTTCATTAACTTCCATTTCTAATTAATCTTAGAAAATTCATGGTTTAAGATAAAAACAAAAATGTATTGATTATTTCTTCAATCAATTTGAAATAAAACACACTAATTTTAGTGCAATTATAAAAATTTGTTTAACAGCTGCAGCTGATGTGTCTAACTAGAACTGCAGGTGCAGATGAATCATCGTTTTGCAGGTGTCCCAACTAATTCGTCGTGACAATTCGAGGCGATTCGTGCCCACACGAAGATTGTTTACGCTGTGATTATTATAATTTGTTTAACAATTCACACCTGCAGATGATTCATCGATTCGCAGGTGTGTCGCGTTTTCATAACCATATAAGGATTTGTTTACCGCTTGCAGCTGCAGTTGTGACAATTCGAAACCATATAAACATTTCTTGAAGTTTAACCGTTTTAGAATCTAGTTTTCTTGCCCATATAAGGAAATTTTTCATTACTCTCTTAATATTTATTACTTTCTAATCGAATACTTAAATATTAAATCATATTCAATTGCTTTCAAATTTATCTAATATTAAAAATCACTGAAAATTTATAGAAAAAAAAGAAACAAGAATTATTAACTTATAAATTTCAACACGAGAATTTTTCATAATTTGTTTGTAACATTAATATTTGTATTCTTTTTAATTATTAAAAAATATCTCCAATATTCTGTATAAATCTACAATTTATGTGCTCAAAATTATCATATATTTTGAATATACTGAACCGCAAATTGTTGTTTATTATAGTTAATATCAAATTATGAACGTTACTAGTAAATAAGAAAAAAAATAGACTTAGCCCACTTTCAATTACAGAAAAATTTCAAATTAATTCAATAATGAAATTATTCATTTTCCATATTTCATCATTTTCAATTGCTTTCAAATTTATCTAATATTAAAAATCACTGAAAACTTCGAAAATTTATAGAAAAAAAAGAAACAAGAATTATAAAACTTATAAATTTCAACACGAGAATTTTTCAAAAATTTGTTTGTTTTGTTTAATTATTAAAAAATATCTCCAAAATGATTCATTTCAAAATCTTCAAAATTCCGTATAAATCTACAATTTATGTGATCAAAATTATCATATATTTTGAATATACTGAACCGCAAATTGTTGTTTATTATAGTTAACATCAAATTATAAACGTTACTATAGTAAATAAGCAAAAAAATAGACTTTCAATTACAGAAAAATTGCAAATTAATTCAATAATGAAATGATTCAATTTCCATATTTCATCATTTCCAATTGCTATATAAACTATCTTTCTCTCTCTCTCACTATCTCTATATATAAACGTTCGTTGCGTAAGCACTTTAATCCATATTTGAATCCATAGACTGCTTTCCACGTTGCTCGCTTCGCGCTAATACCTTTCCACATTCAAATTGGAGCTCGATTGCAGCCGTTTATAGAAATAGCTCAAGTTATATGGCTTTCATCGAAACGTCCCCTTTTGTCCTGCCGAGTGTTACGCGCGAGGAAATATGAAACTTCACAACTTCATTCATTCACAATACCGCTATAGAAATGTGCGTTTTCAATTTCTTTTTTTTTTTAGAATTTCGTTTGACTTTTAAACCTTTCACCAAAGATCCAAAAAACTTCTAACAACTTTTATAAATAAATTAATTAAAATTATAAACAAAATTTTTATATAAAATATAAATTTATTTGTTGATTTTCAAAACGAATATTAATTTTCTATATTAATTATAATATCAATTAATTTAACAAATTGAAATTGGATCATAGTAGTAGTAAAGTTTACAAAACTTTTTTTTTAGAATTTTGTTTGACTTTTAAACCTTTCACCAAAGATCCAAAAACTTCTAACAACTTTTATAAATAAATAAATTAAAATTATAAACGAATTTTTTATATAAAATATAAATTTATTTATTGATTTTCATATGTTTTATTACTTCTATTAGAAATTTGAAAATTTGTGATTTTTTTTAAATAAATTTATGAATATTTTCATATTTTATTCATCAAATTTTTATAATTATAAACTCAAAACGAATATTAATTTTCTATATTAATTATAATATCAATTAATTCGACAAATTGAAATTCTTCTAACAACATTTATAAATAAATAAATTAAAATTATAAACGAAATTTTTATATAAAATATAAATTTATTTATTGATTTTCATATGTTTTATTACTTCTATTAGAAATTTGAAAATTTGTGTTTTTTTTAAATAAATTTATGAATATTTTCATATTTTACTCATCAAATTTGCTTATTTTTGCTATTTTTATAATTATAAACTCAAAACGAATATTAATTTTTAGTAGTAGTAAAGTTTACAAAACTTTTTTTTTTAGAATTTTGTTTGACTTTTAAACCTTTCACCAAAGATCCAAAAACTTCTAACAACTTTTATAAATAAATAAATTAAAATTATAAACAAAAATTTTATATAAAATATAAATTTATTTATTGATTTTCATGTTTTATTACTTCTATTAGAAATTTGAAAATTTGTGTTTATTTTTTTAAAATAAATTTATGAATATTTTCATATTTTATTCATCAAATTTGCTTATTTTAGCAATTTTTATAATTATAAACTCAGAATGAATATTGAATTTCTATATTAATTATAATATCAATTAATTTGACAAATTGAAATTAGATCATAGTAGTGGTAAAGTTTACTAAGATTTTGTTTGTTTTTTTGTTTTAGGTTTACTTAGTAGGTCATATGCCTCCTGGATCTGACGAAAGACAAAGAGCTATGATGCATCAAGCTCATTTCGCCTACTCAGAGCATCACAACAAGAGATACCTGAAATTAGTTCGAAAGTACGCCGACATCATCGTAGGTCAATTCTTCGGGCATCTTCACTCCGATTCCTTCAGGGTCATCTACAACGAGCACGGTTTGTTACGCAACATTTAATCTTCCCAAAACTACATTAAACACATCCTCAAGACAAACTTAGTTTCTCGAGACGCTAAATATAATTACTTATTGATTTAATTTAATGCTAATTTATGAAACTGGAGCGCCGCCACCGCCTACTACGAAGCTTACCTCACTAAATTACAACTGTTGCACAACTTACGTTGTTGTCGCCTTTCCCATCCTTTTTTTATCGCATCGAATAATTACATAATTCACAGGATAATTAAACCGAAATGTTTAATTCAAATTAAATATTTTCTCTCTGTCTTTAAATTGGAATAATTTGAACTAAAGTTTTGAATATTTTGAATTGGAAAATTATGAAAAGTATAGAACTACAGTTAAAGATCAATCAACTGTGACGGAAAAGTTCCGAATATTTTGAATTGGAAAATTATGTAAAAAATGAATAAAACATACGTGAAATTAGTTGAAAGTCAATTTTGCTTGAAGACAAATTTACGAATATTTCAAAATTTGAAGATGGGGAAGAAATTAGTTACATTTTTTTTTATTCTTTGTTCGGAAGAAAGCATATTTTCGTGCAGGATGAAACGGGGGAAATCCTGTCGCCGTGCGAATACTAAATCCAAATCTGTGTGCAGATCGAACGTTACGGCAATATTGGTACAACCCGCAGGACAAATTCGCCAACATCTAATCCACAAACATCCACCATCATCATGATCATCTTGGTTCTTGCTTGCATCCACGTGGATATGTAACAAACAACATTAATCATGTTTGATTCCCAAATAAAAAATAACTAATTAATTAAGTGTAGAAAATTTGTTTCAAACTGTTTATTATATCATAGTATAAAACTGAAATATGATGACACAATCTGTTTCTTTTATAAACAAAAGGTATTCAGAGCTAGTTTATTTCAATCCCAGTTCTTTTGGGTCAATTGGGACCAAAAGTTCCAAACATTCTCTATAATTCTCTATACACACATATCCCATTCGTCCCTTACATTTATACAAGATACCTGAGACACATATATATATACATTTTTTTTTATGTCAGTTCGTCCCTTCGGTGCGAAACTCACCGAATATTTCATATAAAAATAAACGATGAGGACAAAGTTTCAACGTTTCGCTTTAACTCGAAATTTCAGGTCGACCCGTTTCGTGGGCGATGCTCGCACCCGCAGTCACACCTAGGAGGACAACAGATGGCGCCAACAATCCGGGACTCAGATTGTACAAGTTCGATAAGGACTCCGGTCAGGTAATTGCAAATTTAATTAATTAAATTCAATTATTCTCCGCGTCAAGTTTGGAGTTTGATTACACCAGATTTTGGTCCTTTCCTTTTGTTAAATGAAATCCAATACATTTTGTTCGTTTCATACTAAAAGTTTGATTATTATTCAGAAATTATTAATTGGATTATTAAATTAATTAAAAATTTCATATATTCAAATAAATAAACTTTCTATAATTATTTATAAAAAAAATGGTAAAAATAACAATTTTCTTATTTAGTTTGTTTTAAATAAGCCTAATACGATGTTAATAAGCTACTTTTAAGATAAAACTATGGTCTTTTCAACAAGTTTATTAAAAGTTCTGTTATACTTACGGTTTTCTTGAAATAAGTTATCAAAATTGAAAAATTAAATTCAACTGCTAAAATCAAGGTTTTCTCATTTTATATAATTACTCAACAATCAGAAAAGATAGTTAAATTATCAATTATGAAGATTATAGGTAAAACTATGGCCTTTCAAATAAGCCTATTGCAATTAAATTCTTCCTCAAAAAAAATGAGTTTTTATATTTTGTTTAATTACTCTAATAATCAAGTAAACTAAGTCAATAATGTAATATAAACAGAAAATTATGATATTTCCAATGAGTTAACTAAAATATGTGTGTTAATTAGAGTTTTACTTGAAATAAGTTATCAAAATTGAAAGATTTTTTATTACACCAGATTTTGGTCCTTTCCTT